GCGCCGGCGTGCATTGTTAAGCGATGGCATCCACGAACTGTCCAAAAACTGGCAAGGATCTCTCAATAACATTGCTGTATAATTTTGATCTTGTACGCCTCTCTGTAAAAAGAAAGTCTAATTTGAAAAAATGTGACAGAAACCTAATACAAACAGAAGAAAGTGGTAGTTGCAGAATAGTGAGAGGGAGTCAACCCATTAACCATAAGCCAACCCGTTTTAGGCATTCTCACAACCGCTGATTGAAAACAAATACCATTTATTTATTCGAAGCAGTCTTGATAGGAGCTCAGTGACCTAGACGACCTTCGCTACATATCCCGGGGATGAAGTGGGTGTGGCCGCGTACTTCATCATAACCTGGCAGCGGTTGCGCTGCCAATAGGATACTACTTCTTTGAGGACTTGTGATAATGTCTTTGACCAGCACAAGACAATACGAGAAAGGGATCGAATGGAAAGATCCCCTGAATGATCCATTCTACGCCATGCTCATATAGAGTACGCAGCCACGCCCCTCCACCTTCGGGATATCTAGTGTACCTTGTCAGGGCACGAATCCTTCAACGCGACGTCTTTCACTTCACATGGCCGATGAAGACTGTATCAGCGCTATTCAAATTCAGCAGCAATCGATTTGTTGCAAACGCTTGAAAGCTATTTTCTGTTTCTTTACTTTTGTTTTTCCGTTCTTTTTTCTCGATTTGAGATGGCGTGTAGTACTGGAAAATGCGAAGACGATTTATGAGCTATGTTCTGCACAGAGGCCGTGGGCTGTCGAGTCGCCAGCAAGTACGGAGAAGTCGTACAATGAGGCTATGTGACTGTATGGAGGGGGCTTCGTTTGAGGTGTTCTCAATGTATTTTTTGCTTCTTCCTCTACTAGGAAACCACTTATCGGCTGCTGGTCCGTAATTGAACGCCGACTACTCGTAATACCTGATCGCGGGAATTTTCTTTGAGTGCTAGAAATCCAATAGAAATTGGTCTGTTACTATTCAAATGAAACTGGTATCCGTATATTGTACTTCGTTCATGAACTCAAGTTTTTCTTATTAGTGCACGAAGACAGCCTGCGACCACAAGGGTAACCAATGTAAAGATGGCGACTGAAGCTTGCTGACCGCAAGTATTATTACCAGCATTACTGGATGGCTTACCGACCACTCTTCCTGTTCAGCAGGATCTACGTATTGCGTAACTCTCATCGCTGAAGCCTTGCCAGTATTTGTAGAAAGTTCTTACAAGTTCACTCGTAGACGAGCCTATTGTTACAGCCGTTACGAACCTCTTCACCGGAATCATTCAATATTCGAAGGTACGTTACACGGAACACAGGATCGCGGGTGGACGAAATCCCTACGTTATGAATATGCAATCCACAGACATCTATTGAATTCGATTCAGGTCGACTGAAAACTGTAGTATGAACAAAAAAAGTGAGAACAACACGGAAGCAAGCAAGCATTCAGCCTTTACTGCCCCAATAATCCGTAATCGAGCCAATTTGTGACCGACTTCTTCTCCTTGGACAGACTTGGCTCGAACATTTAATGTTTCAGGTCAATTTGCACCTCTAAGGAAGAAGAATATCATCATTTGCCCGAAACCTCCCGACGCTGGCGCCACAGGCGCCGTTAATTTAGGGTGTTTTCGTTCCGGCGGCTGCGGCGCGAGCCCCAGGAAAGAGGTTTCGTGCCGAGCAGATGTGATATTCATCTCCAGGAGGCCAAATTACCCCAGGAGACAAATTTTTAACCATTTCTGCTCACGTAGAAAAAACGTCGGTCAAATACTGAGCCACACTTCGCGATGATTGGGGGGCAGTAAAGTGTGTAAGACAGTGCTCGGAAGCAAAAACAAAAAGGGCAAGATAACTAACCGGGGCCAGTATTCAGCACATCGATCCTTAACCTTTCTCCCAATGAGCATTGAAGATATATGACGCTTTTTCTTGCCAAACCATCGCCAGAAATCGTCTGAAATTGCATTTGATACAATTCTGTACAGAGTGAACGTTCTGGAAGTGAATGATGCTTGACACGAAATTCACCTACCAACAGTGTTCTCCATGGGGGCCTGTGTAACGATAAACTTGTTGAATAAAGGACCACCACAGACATAGTTTGCATGAATGAAGTCGTTCTCGTTATTAGGTGGGTAATGCAGCACTACTCTAGAGGAGTCGCGACATTTCACCCCTGCGTGAAATGTAATTGCATACAGGATCAAAAAAAAAAAAATCAAAAAAGTCATACTGTTACTTCCAATTGTAAAGTGAACTTACTGCGATTTCCTACATTTCGTCCAAATTCTTATCAAAATGTTTTTTACTTCGTGGAGTGAATGGCGAGGTTATTCACTTGGTTGTCCAATATTTCAAATCTTAAAAAAGATTGATTCAGGTAGTTCATCAAGCAGTCCAGCAACTTCCTAACAAGGGAATGGTTTCAACTTCCCATGGAACTTTGAATGGAGACCTAAATATGTCGATATCGAATGCTGATTACGAATATGCAGATTAAAAGTGCTACAGGGACCTCCCAGACGAGTTCTGGGCGGTCAAAGTTGCCAAAAACGCGGGTTTTGGCTCGTCAAGGCTGCTGGCTCGGTCGATTGGGCACTGCGCCGTGGCATAGAGGTAACGCTCTCGCTTCCAGTCTGCCTTCAAAGCCAAATTTCGTGGGTTTGCATCCGGAAATTTTGCTTCGTCTCCTATAAGAGCTTTCACACTATCCCGGAATTCCTACGAGTTTACGTCCCAGCAGAGCAAGTAGATCAAGTATATGACGCAGTCGATCGAGTATTGATTGATCACTATCTGTCCTCTCTGAACTCATTACCCATCCGACAATTCGAAGTTTTGGCCAGAATCACAATTTGGCCAGAAACTCGTTTCTGGGGGTATTTTGACCCCCTGAGCACGGATATCACATCCGTTTGACGCGAAAACGATCGGTTCCCTCGTTCAGTTGATGACCACAACAACGTGAAAGGCTACAAGCTTTTTTTGCCAAACCGATATGACCAGAAACGAGTTTCTGGCCAAAACTTCGAATTGTCGGATGGGTAATGAGTTCAGAGAGGACAGATAGCGACCAAATCCATACTCGATCGAGTACGTCATATACTTGATCTACTTGATCTACTTGCTCTGCTGGGCCGTAAACTCGGAAGAATTTCGAAAATTAGAGTAAAAGCTCTTATAGGAGACGAAGCAAAAATTTCGCGCCAACGGGATGCAAACCCACGAGCATTTGCTTTGAAGCGAGACCGTTACCACTAGGCCACGGTGGCACTGCCCACAACCGATCAGCAGCGCTTACGAGCCAAAACCGAGTTTTCGCAAACTTTGACCGCCCAGAACTCGTCTGGGAGGTCCCCGTAGCACTTTTAATCTGCATATTCGTAATCAGCATTCGAGACTCTATCGATGTACCCAGGTCTCCATGGGAAGTTCAAGCCATTCCCTTGTAGGCTTTGCCGAATGCTGGACGAATGAGACCCGGAAGATTGGTGAGACGTCAGTCCAAGTTTCGCAGAGGTTCCAAAGCAACGCAGTTCATGTCTGTGCGAAACCGCTACCATATCTCGGCAGGGGTGAAGCAACTTCTACGGGTGGCGTCCCTCTGAGATTGACGGCTGCACCGTACTTGTAACTCATTATCGATCTCTGTATTTTTGGTATGAACTTCAAGGGATTCTTCCTGCCAAGTAATCGCGAAATGTGTCTTGAACGAGAAAACTAGAGTATAAATCAAAAATCGAAAAAGTTCGACAGGTGTGGGCATGGTTGCCGGGGTGGGCGATTGTCGCCGACCTCACTGGTGGACGGGCAAAGTCGGAATGTGCTCATACAGTCTCTCAGAGGTCTTCCACTACAACAACCACCCGCCTCCAACAATCGTGCCCATTACCTTTAAACATGAGGTTACCTTCTCTCCATGCCTCCAGTGATACTACAAATGAATTTCTGTTTTTTGCTGGGCCCGAACATACGTTTACCCAATTGTATGTTATTGTAGTCTGAAAACAAACCAAGTCTGCTTACAAGGTACTTAAGCAAAGTTCATCAATCAAGATTAAAGTTGATTGATTCACCCTTCTCAGGTTGCGTTCATACTTTGAAGCAGCGTCCACCAGCGTCCAGGAGTGGAGAGCATGGGAAGTAGGAGGGTAGCAGACTGCACAGACTGTTGGACTAAGCGTCGTGAAATTGCGGCGCGTGCAGCCGCACCGTACTGCCGTACCACAATACCGGACATTCAATTGCACACTTTGTGCCATAGCATCTGCACGGTACGAGTGTACACGCCGCAATTTCATGACGCCTGAGCCAGCTCTCGGCTACCCTCCTCCTTCCCCATGCTCTCTACTCCTGGACGCTGGTGGACGCTGCCGTTCGCTAGATCGATATCTATACTTTCCTAGTCGCTGACGCTGACGGACGCTCGAAACGCTGATGGTCGCTGGTGGACGCTGCCGCAAAGTATGAACGCAGCCTCACTACTGTCATCATAGGACGCTGTGAGTGAATTTCAGCAAAGATCAGCACGTCAACACGTGACAGAAGCAGCACTTTGAAACACAATAATGAACATAATAGAACGTACATTTCCCTGCAACCCGAATTCTGTCTCGATCCGAATATGTTTGTTCGTTGTACAAAGCAAGGCGCATCTGCACCGCATGAGGATCGAAGTCAGAGGCAAGATAAGACATCAGATCGATATTCCTTGGACCATAGATAATGATTTTTTTCGAAATCGAAATGGACATTCCCGATGAAATAGGAAACATACTTCAAGCCTAGCTCATCGTTTTCGACAAGCCAATTACTCGGCTCACTAGCCATCTCCAAGCGGGATTTCAAAACATGCGCACGAGCTTCTTTTAGGGTAATGCTTCGATTGTCAGTGAAAAAGTTCGGCGAGATTCCCACCTAGGAACACGTAAAAGTAGTCAAATAATTAGTAATAGAATTTTCATGAAAAAAACAGGCGCACATAAGCCTTCATGCCAGATGACCGACAAATTAGTTTTTAGCGACATATTGAATGATTAGCTAACAGGTGAGTACTTCGCGAGGTGGGCAGGTCTGCACTATATGAATGCAGCATTTTATCATTCCAAAGGGAGCAGCAGTCATATATGTAGTGGCCTGATGTTCCTCCTTGTTTTCATGAGCTACTCGAAACGCGATACGGACAACGGACACCGCAGTCACGCCACATGCCTTACGGACAGCCATACGCCTATGGCTCTCCTTGCGCCACACATGTACGGCTAGCCGCATGATGTGGCTCTGACTAACGGGCGCCTCAGGAAACGAAAGCAACGTACAGCTGCTGGGGATGGGGTTGTAATCGCCCCTGAGAAAAGGTTCCCGAGCCGAATTTTTCCAGTTTCTCCGCAAAAAAAAGCAGAACTTTTCTGGTAATCGACCACAGGATTACAATTTTTTACAGCTGAGATTAGTCCCTCTATCTCGCCGTTCGGAAAGACGAAGGTGGCACATTCTGTGCAAGTGGGAATGGAATGTCATGCATGGAAGCTTTCGTCTTTAAAGACAGCGCTCACGTTCATTTGATGTTCGCGCGCCCTCTCTAGGTATCACAGCCCTCTTTATGAGGATGCAGTTGTACTAGTTTTGCATCTCAAAAGGGCGAAAGGGTAGAGCCGTTCGCTAGTGAAGAGGCGGCCGCCCCACCAGCATAGGGTTCCATATAAGGCACTTTCCATGATTTTTTTTCTGTTTTTCTCTTTACTATTGGCTCACGTATTATGTGAGCTCCATAACTCATTATTCTTGGAAGCGGGCTCAGCCTTCATCCTCTCGCATTTTGAGCTGCGAAATTAGTACATCCTCCACCCTTGTCGACAAAGCTACGATATCTAAGGAGGGCGTAGGAACATCAAATGAACGCGAGCGCTGCCTTCAAGCTACTGCCCCTAGGCAAAGTGACTATGTAAGCTCCACTCCTACTGCTGGTGGCTATGGTGGATATCCAATCGTGGGTGCAGTAAGGAATCAAAAAGACCATGGCGTTGTTTGCAGCTGGTGAAAGCTCAAAACATACGAGATCAGAACTATCAAATTTCCAGCTATTCCCTGGATCAAGGAAATGGTGGAACCGCTATCCTGCTGCACTGAAAGTGCTTTACCAGCTAATGGCTGGGATGAGCAGGGCACCGTAGATGGGAATCCTTACCGGGAGGTCGTATTTGAGCACTCCACCAGGCCTAGTTGGAACTTCCTATACAACTACTATTTGGATAGTTTAAGTAGTAATTGATTGAGACGACCTGCTCCACCCCGTTCGACGCGTATTTTGCGGAGATACTGGTAAATCTTCTGGAGATTCGGAGGAAAAGT